CCTTTTTTTTTTTTTTTTTTTCATTTTCACTTTTCTAAGATGATGACGTTCCGATGAAAAAAAGTTTTGTTAACATCTTTGTGTCCTTTTGATCAGATTCATGGCAGCAGTTCGTGTTCTGCGGTGAAGCTGTTGTAATGGGATATCTTCTTCACTTCGCCACATTCTTCCCGCTAGAGAGAACATTGTTTATTCACCATTACCTTCCCGCGCTGTTCTTTAAAATTGTTCTTTTACCAGTGATGTTAGAGCATGTTCATCAAGAAATCTTTAGGTAAGTCCACACAGGACACCCTAGGGGAGGGGAGAGGGTATGTTACTCGTGCCGGTCCAGAGGGATTCCAGTGCAAACACAGAGGGAGTCGTTAGAGATCATGTGTCGTGCAAAGTCAAGAAGTGCAGGGAGCAACAACTTTCGACAAGAGTTGGTAAGAGAATTAGCACTTACCATCGAAAATCGGAGCCACGTTCCACCTGAAAGCAAAACTGCTCCAAAGCTGCCTCCCTTCCCCTCTTATTGTCTCGCACAACCTTGATTCGTTTGGGAAATAGAGGAACCACGTAAGATATCGTTTGTGATCGCATCGCATCGCATCGCATCGTATCGTATTGTATTGTATAGTATCGTGTTGTATCGTATTGTATTACTTCGTTGACACAACGATTTAGGCAGTCCACTCTATTTCAATAGAAGGCATTTCTTCTTATTTTTTTCCGGTAAATGATTTAGTGTAAGTGCAAATGTTCATGAAGTAGTCAAAGGTTCCATGAAGAAGCTTTGGGAAAAATTTACCTGGATAGCTTTTCACAAATGTTTTTAACCTTTTCTGTTCTTTCCTCAGATACAAAGTGCTTCGTCAGATATTGTACGGGTGTTGTGCGTTCTTGGTTGTAATTGTGCTGTGGGGATTTCATTTCTACAGTCCTTTCACGTACGGTCACGTGGCTCTCTCCTCTGCTGAGATCAATCGACGGAAGTGGCTCAAAACATGGGACATGCTCTCTCACCCCAACACGTGACACACTTCACTTTCTGAGCCCTAATCTTCGCTCCTCCAGACTTCTTTCCTTGCGGAGAAACCAAAAGGACCTGAAAATCAGACAAGAACGTTCTCCACTCCTGAAACTTTTGCAGGACTGGACACAAGTAAAGTGCTGCGCAAGGATGTCTGGGATTGTTTGGGTGTGCAAACAGGTGGCCTCTGGGGCTGTATTGGTTGGATCTTGTTTTCAACTTCGCGAAGGGAAAAAAACTTTGAAAACAAGCTTACATACGAGTAATTTTGCCCGCAACATTTTGACCTTTAACGCGTCTACCAAACAATGCCAGAAACAGCGCCATCGATTTTCTGGAGGAGAAAAACACTTGTGTGATAATGCTCGGTTTTTATAGACAGATATTTTAATAATTTTACACGCACTAAGCAAGTTATTTACAGTAAGGAAGCGACTACTACAGACTTCACTTTGTTATTTAATAACCTATCAGAAAATTGCAGCAACACTTGTAAGCACTGTTTCTAAAGATGGCTCTTTTGCTTATCATAATAAGAACACGTCCTGTTACTTAGCGACCACTTGCATGAAGACCTTCAGCTGTCACGTTAACTGTGGTGTGTCACGCAACGCTACTCGTGGTGAGAAGCATTGCGAGACCTCCGAAATATTGGCTACGAGGACGAGGTGATTAACAACCAATTAAGAACTAGTTTTAGGGCAAAACGTTTTATTCGCTTTTCTTTCCCCTTTGCTTTTTTAACTTTTCTGTAATCCTCTACTCGAAACATTTAGAGGCATTCGCCCTACAAAGTCAGTAGCACACCGTCACCACACTCGGTTCCTAGTCGCCATCTTCATTGCATTACAGGTTTTTCTTTCTTTCTTTCATGACATGACAGATTGCTCTAGTAAAACAGTTCAATCTAGCGTTGTAAAGTAAAAAAAGATAGTTCAAAACAGATTAGTCAGCTGGTTTGACGCTCAAAAAAAAACAAATTTCAGCTTTGAGGCACATTTAATATGTCGTCTTTTAAACAAGTCTATATTGATTTCCACGTTGTTTTATATCTTTTTCCTATTTTTGATTTCACTTAATTTTGTCACTGGGTTGTGGAGCCAATAGGAAAACTCCGAAGCGTTTAATGTAATTCAGTGGCATATTGGATAATCGCCGATCGACGGCATCACCGGGGCATAGAAAATATTTCGCTGTATAACTATAGTTGGACAGGTAATGGGGTGTGGTGTAACAACAAACAATGTTAAAATCTTACTTGAGCGATTTTCTTTTGGGAGTTTGAACTGGCATGCGAGATTTCACAGAATAGCAGATAATTTTGCAGTTATTTTTCGTAAAAATTAAATTCAAACAAAATCACGTAAAGAAGATTGTAAAAATTTTGTCTTGTCCGTTGAGGTATTTATTAGTACTTTACTAATAATAAATTATATTTTTTTTCCGATGCAGGTTTTAATTACTAGGTATTTCGTTGAACTGGCTGGTCTGTTTTGTGTGTGTCTAGATTGTGAATGATCAACCGCACAGACGAATCAATAAAACTTTATTGTCTCAAAATAAGAGTATTGCAGGCAAGCATTTTGTTTGATCTTGGTGAAACCCATTGCAGGACAACGTTGTTCTCACCCAGCGCACCCCCACCCCCACCCCCCTCTCCCGACCACTTTTCCTGGCTTCCCCTCTGTTTTTCTTCTGGTTGTTTTACGTATTTTGTCTCTCCGTTCGTTCACAGGTTTGCCTCACGAAGGCCTGTAGAAGTAAGCT